CTCTGTCCCCTGGGAGGTCCTTTCAGACAGGTGGACTGAGGAACGCAGCCTCCAGTGGATGGAGGTCCCCCAGACCCTTTGAGGAAGGGGCCAGGAGTGCATCTTGAATGAATAGGGAGAGAGTTGTGCCTCCGTGGCGAACGAGCATTTTTTTTTAAGAGTAAAAGAACCGAGTTTCCTCTTCTGCTCTCCTCCCAACCCCCCCAACCCCCAAATTGGTTGTTGTCGTATTTGGGCTTATTCCGCAGCCCAAAAGTTCCCCCACTTTATCTTGCTAACAGACAGTAATTGACAAGCATTAGGAGTCAGGCTTGGCATGGCGATTGCGTTGGATGCTTCGTATCCTGGTTTTAAAACAGTAAAAAATAAAATTAACGTGCCCCTATCTTGCAGCGTGTCCAGATTCTTCTTTCATGCTACGAGGTGGTGGTTTTTTTTTTTTCTTCTTTTTCTTTGGAAAAGGGCCAGCGAGCAGCTTGTTAAAATCAGGGTCAAAAATGAGCAGGAGATGCTGGATTAGCTGCTTGCCAAAGAAAACATTGCAAATGCCAACCGGCTTTTTAAAAAAAGAAAAAAGAAATAACTGAAACAAGTGCTAAAACGCAATTTGACTTCAGTCCAAATTCCTGTGGGGAAGTGTTAAAATGTTGGATGCGTTTGGGGGCTTCCAGGGGGTCGGGTGATCTCATCGGCGCATTTGTGGGTTCAAATCCTGGCAAAGGCCTTTGGTACGTCTCCGGAATGCTGCTTCTCCCTTCCCCTTCCTAGGCCAATCTGCAAAAAGCGTGGCGTGCCTCCACTTCCACGCGGGATCTTTTCGTTCTCAAAGTTCCTGCCGTTATACAAGTAGCGCTTGACCGATGACCGTTCGTTTAGTGACCGTTCAAAGTTACGACGGCACTGGGGGAAAGAAACCGACCAGTTTTTCGCATGACCGTTGCGGCATTCCCCACAATCACGTGATCAGAATTCAGAGGCTGGGCAACTGGTTCATACTTACGACCGTTGCCGTGTCCCCATGGTCCCGTGATTGACATTTGGATGTTTGACAACTGTTTCACGTTTATGTCGGTTTCGGCGTGCCAGAGTCACTGTATCCCCTTTTGCCACCTCCTGATAAGCAAAGTCAATGGGGAAGCCTGATTCACTTAACAACTTATCAGCTGCAGTGATTCCTTTAACAACAAGGTCGTCAAATGGGGCAACACTCCCTTAACAAATGTCTTCATTAGCAACATAAATTCTGGGCCCAATCACTGGCCGATTCCTGTACTTTTGAGATCTCCAGCTCCTTATCCTCGCCACCATGGTGGGACCCCCTGAAATTTTGCAACCTGGGTCGGGGGTCTTTATAGAGGGGCTGAAAATCAGAACTGGGAGAAAAGTGCCATTTACTTCCTGACTCCCAGCTTTTGCTTAGCACCACTACAGGCAGAATAAGGATTGTGCAGCAGCCAGTGCTGCTGTTGTCCCTACGCAACCTCTCTGCGATGCCTCGTTCCTGCCAGCAGAGATCATCAGCTGCCGAAGAAGAGTGGACCATATTTAATTCCAATTTCAAGCCCGGAAGGATCGTTTTTTCAATTCTTGCCCGGAAAAATCCACGGGAAATCCTGCCCTGGAACGAGTCACGCCAGGCTAGGAATGCCTCGGCCCTCTTGATGCTTCCCAATTAAGTCGCTGGCAGGAAAAGCTCCATTTTTGCTTAGTTCCTGGATGCGATTTGGAAATGGGGACAAGGCAGGAGATGAATTTAGCTTGGGAGAAAAACTCTGCGGGCTTTAATGGGTGGCACCATGAGAGATGCCAGGTTGGGCTGGAACGACCGAGGGTTTTGCAGCGTGGCATATATCGAGAAATGCAGTTGCTCCCTTCGCTGGGTGAATGAAGCCAGCCAGCCAGCTAAAACGCCCCATGCCTTATAGCATGTTATTTTTGAGGCTCAGGGTATCGAGTGAGCACATCGTGGAGAATTTGCTTCTGGACAAATTTTATTTATTTATATTATTGCATTCCTCAGACTTGTTTGCAGTCCATCTCACCGAGAAACAACTCTGGGCAGCTGATACAGGTAGTCCTCGACTTAACGACAATTTTGAGCCCAAAATGTATGTTGCTAAATGAGACAATCAAGAGAATTCTGCCTCATTTTACGACTTTTCTCGCTGCGGCTTGTTAAGCGAAACCCTGCAGCTGTTAAGTTTAGCAAACACGGTCGGTAAGCAAGCCCCATTTTCCTCAGTGGGCATATTTTGCCAGAAAGTGGAAATTAATGCTGGAAACTGGCAAAAAAAAACCCCATCAAAAATTGTGGTCACGTGACCATGGGATTCTGCAAATGACCATCGATGCAAGTTTGTTGCCAGGCACCCCAAAGGTCCACAGCGTGTGGGCAGCTGTTGGAACCTCAAAAATCAGGTCATGAATAACTCTTGAGATGGTCCGTCGTAACTTTGGACAGTTGCTAGGTGACTGGTCGTTAAGCAAGGACTACCCATATTTAGTCCCCCTCGGAGCAAAGTTCCTGTTCTTTGTTCCTCTGGGCTGCTCTTTGTCTGAACCTTTAGGAACGTAGCATCTCAAACCGGCCACAGGATTTGAGATGCGACTCGGATAGCCGTAGGATCCGATTTCAAGGATCAGCTGCAAAGGAATCGAGAGCGGATCTTGGGGAAGGAAGAGGCAGGAAACAGCCGTGGAGAGACTTGGAGATTGTACCGTTCAGGCATTGCACGAAACATGAGAGAGAAAAAGACTCAAATCAACCCTGTCTTGAATTTGTTACAGGAAGCAGGAAAAAATCTTGCATAGATTTTCAACATTTTGACATTTCCACCCTGCAACGGATCAAGCAGCATTCCTCAAATCCCTGTGGGGGTGTGCTTGCCTTGACCTGGCCTGCCTTGGAGGTCCTCCCGAGAAATAGAATCAAGATCACGTGAAGTGTTAATACCACTTTACAATGCCTTGGTAAGGCCACACTTGGAATACTGCATCCAGTTTTGGTCACCGCGATGTAAAAAAGATGCTGAGACTCTAGAAAGAGTGCAGAGAAGAGCAACAAAGAAGATTAGGGGACTGGAGGCTAAAACATATGAGGAATGGCTGCTGGAATTGGGTCTGTCTAGTTTAATGAAGAGAAGGACGAGGGGGGACATGAGAGCAGTGTTCCAATATCTCAGGGGCTGCCCCAAAGAAGAGGGAGTCAAGCTATTCTCCAAAGCGCCTGAAGGCAGGACAAGAAGCAATGGATGGAAACTCATCAAGGAGAGAAGCAACCTAGAACTAAGGAGAAACTTCCTGACAGTGAGAACAATTAACCAGTGGAACAACCTGCCTCCAGAAGTGGTGAATGCTCCAACACTGGAAGTTTTTAAGAAGAGACTGGACAGCCATTTGTCCGAAATGGTATAGGGTTTCCTGCCTGAGCAGGGGGTTGGACTAGATGACCTTCAAGGTCNTTGTTTACAGATAAAAGATGAGATTTGGGAAGAAGAGATTTGTTTATCTGAAGAGGCAATATTAAGTTCCTAAAAATGTTTATATACTCACGACGAAGGGGGAAGTCCACCCTTAACATATTTTTCTCTTTTAAGTATGTTCTTAATTTTTCTTTTCTTTTCTGCCCTGTTTTTTTCTGTTTACCCTTTTCTGTTTTTCAACTGGCACGCGTTCTCATCTTTTCAACTGAACCATTCAACATTACTTTTTCAAAAAAAGAGGGAAACTCAACAGCGGTCCAGAATTTGGGAATGAAAACCGAGGATCGGCAGGAACTTTGGACACCCAAGCCTGAAATGAATGGGATTCTACAAAAATCTCCATCTCCAAAAAACAGAAGTGAGTGTGATCCGACAGACAACACACAAATTGCGGCTGCCTTGTTAAAATAGTTGAGCGTTAAATGACCAGAGTCCTGTGATGGGGGACCCACGTGCTCATGGCCTCAGCCTGGCCCCAGAGAAGCCCCCATTTTATTTTATTTTTTGCAAGAAGAGATAAACACTCGCTAAAATCCAAAAAAACAGCTTTTATTCTGTGCAATGGGGCAGCTGACATCCCTCTGCATAACAACTGTGCTGGTAAAAACCAGCCAACCGCCCCGTGCAAAGGCATTATTAGTTGACCAAAAAAAAAAAAAAAAAACCCGTTTAACCAGTCCCTGTTCTTCAGTTGCATCCGAACGTGTCCATCCATCCTGGGGGGAAAAAACATTGCCCAGGTACAAAACAAGAACGCAAACATGCACGCGCACACATCAGAGTAAGTCACGGATCTTTGGTTCACAAAACTAGATCCATCTTTCAGTTTTTCTCCAAAATTCTAGCCAAGTGGGGTACACATCGAGGGTCTGACATAGCAGCCCCCCTGTTTTCGTCTGGTCTTCTTGCAGCACAGTCCAAACCAGACTGATCACCCCAAAATTTCAGAGAACTTGTCATGCAAAACAACCCCTTGCCAAGGCCTGGCGGAGCAGCCATTTGCCCTCGGGGTGCCCTTCCAAGGCTCAGATCACGTCACCCGGAGGCTGCTGTTCTGCACACGCAAAAGATTTTCTCCAATTGTTTATTTACGTGGCTTTTTACATTGTCTAGCTCCCCGATTTTAGAGCAGGGATGAGGAACCTTGGCTCTTTTATGACTCGTGGACTTCAACTCCCAGAATTCCTGAGCCAGCATGGAAACCTCTCCCTTTTCCCCTCAGCAGGCTGGCTCAGGAATTCTGGGAGTTGAAGTCCACGAGTCATAAAAGGGCCAAGGTTCCCCGCCCCTGCTCTAGACCATATATACCAGGGGCCTTCAAACTTGGTCCTTTTATGACTTATGGACTTCAACTCCCAGAATTCCTCAGCCAGGCACGCTGGCTTAGGAATTCTGGGAATTGAAGTCCACCAGTCATAAAAGGGCCAAGTTTGAAGGCCCGATTTATACCCTGTACGCTCCAAGGGTCCTATTTTCCTCTGCAAACACAGCGCAGTCCTCGACTTAAAACAACCGTTCATTTAGTGACCACTCGAAGTTAGAACGGCACTGAAAAAAGTGACCTATGACTTTTTTTCACTTATGACCATTGCAGCATCCCCATGGTCATATGCTCAAACCTCAGACGCTGGGCAACTGACTCCTATTTACGACGGTCGCAGTGTTCCGGCAGGAGTCCTGGAATCCCCTTTTGCAACCTTCTGACAAGGAAAGTCAATGGGGGGGGGCGCAGATTCACTTAACAACCCGTGTCCCTAATTTAAGAACGGCAGTGATTCGCTTAACAGATGTGGCGAGAAAAGTTGTAAAAACGGGGCAAAACTCACTTGGCAACTGCCTCGCTTAGTGACGGAAACTGTGGCCTCAATTGTCATAAGTCGAGGACTACCTGTATAGGGGATACGCTGCCCCCCCCCCACAAGCACAACTACTGGAGGAATAGCAATCTCCATCCTCCTACTGAATTTGAAAATTTTGTATTTCCTCCTCTTCCTGTCTTGCTCCACATCTACATGTATAAAAGCTGGCCACAAAGTTTGGGCACATTGGAGTGTGAGGCTGCCAGCTGCCAACCCCTTACAGCAAAGTCTTTCAACCTGTTTGGCACAAAAAAACCAAAAACCCATCCTGGAATATAGATTTACGAAGAAGCACAAGAGGAGAGAACCTTAGAGCGCTCCCGTGAAAATTTCGGAACATATTCTTTTCCCATATTCCCGCTGTGAACCCAAACGCAAACAGCCCCCCTTTCAGAAATAAATTACATCGCAAATCAGCCATTCCAATTCTAAAACAGAAGGACAATCATTAACGGAAGTAAAAAAATGTGGGCTAAGGGGAAGACAGTTAAACAAAGTTGGCCACGTCAAAAGGTAATGAAAAGTTCATCCGTAGGTCCCAGTGTCAGCACATGGAGTGTGAGAGACGGAAATAAAAAATCGCAATTGAAAAAGTCTGGAAGCAAAAACCCCATTCCCCTCCAGTTTCTGCATTTACAAGGGCTGTCGGTCGCCTTGCAAACAAGTTTCAAGTTTTTGGATTTGGAAAAAAAAAAAAAAAAAACCCACGCAGTTAAGATTTAACCCGGTGCGTTTCTTGTCCTTCTGGCTCAACAGGCCAGAGAACGTCAAGTAAAGAATGGAAGGAAAACAAACAAGAAAAAAAAAAAGATAAGACTAAAGACTCTTTCTGCTGGCTTGGTCCAAAATATAAAAATAAATGCAGAGAAAATTGCACACAAAAAGAGAAGAAAAAACAAAAGGACGATTGAGTGATCTCGATACGTCGATTCGTATGATGATTATTTTTTCCCCCCTTTTTAACTGGATGTCGCCGAAGAGAACGTCTCGCCTTGCACAGTGGACGTTTTCTTAAGCGCCACCAGAACTACGGAGAAAATTTTGGGGAAAATGGAGTGATGATCCTACGGCGTTCGTTGGCATTAAAATTTCCAAACGTACGAAATGCGTGAAGTTCAAAGAAGAAACAACGGTGGGGGAAAAAGGCTGTGTTTAAACAGATTCTTGGTAGAAAAAAAAAACTCCCGGTCATTAAATCTCCCTCTGGATGGGAAATTCTGATCTTGAAAGACGGAGAAAAATTATGTCTTTTAAACTTCTTTTTTGGAGAAAAGTTCTAAAGTTCTTTTTTTTTTTTGGAGAAAAGTTCTAAAGTTCGGCTTTGGAGTAGTTCAGTCACATCACGGATTCTTTTTCGCAAGGTTTGCTATCCCCCAAATGGGTTGGGCCGTTCTGCTTAATCAGCGGGGAGCCCTCCTCTACCCACTCGGGCTTGCTGGCCTCCACGGCCACCGTCTTAACCTCCACCAGGTCGTCGTCCTCCATCTGGCCCATTTTCTTCTCCGAGTACACCTGTAGGAGCCCCGCGCCAAAGGCATCGCCCTCCACGTTCAGGACAGTACACGTCCGGTCTCTGTAGGGGAGGAGGAACCGGGCGTGAGAATGCACGCAAAATAACCCCATGGAGAGAAGCAGGGTGAAAAAAGGGGAGCCCCCCCTGTGCCCCCCTCATTCAGAACATCTTCACCTGCAAAACCAGGGTCAAAAGACTCCCCTGCTCTGGTTAGGAGAGGACAGAAAGATCTGTCATGTGGGGTCCATGGTGCTCTCTGAGCTGGGTGGTTTTTTTGCAGACGTTTCATGGCCCAGCTAGGTTGGAAGGGAGGGGGGTATATGGAGTGGAGGAGGGAGGAGGAGGAGAAGGGTGGTGGCTGTGGGGTCCCTTGCTGCTCTCTGAGCTGGGTGGTTTTTTTGCAGACATTTCATGGCCCAATTAGGTAATGTCATCAGTGCTGGAAGGGAGGTGGGTTATGCACTGATGATGTTATCTAGTTGGGTAATGAAACGTCTAGAAGACAGCACAGAGAGTACCAAGGACCCCATAGAACCTCCCTTCCTCCTCCTCCTTTCCATCCCTCCCTTCCAGCACTGATAATGTTATCTAGTTTGGGTCATGAAACGTCTGCAAGAAAACCCCCCCAAGCTCAGAGAGCACCAAGGAGCCCCTCAGTTCAAATATTCTCTTTTATCAGATCTGTCACGATTGCTGCAACAGACCTTTGCTCTCATCCAGCACGGGTTTTTATCTACTGCTGTCTGCAGGCAGCCCTCCCTAACGAAGCCTGTCTGTCATAAAACCCATCATCACCCATGCAACTAACCTGATTTTACCACTGTTTTTGTGGCGGTCATTAAACGATCCAATGGTTAACAGTTTTATTAAAAACCAGAAGTAAACCAGACATTTTGGCCAATAATGCCAGTTTTGGGCAAAAACATAAAACGCAGTCAGCATCACAAACTGCCGACCATGCAGGTTGATTGCTAGGCACCCAAAATGTGGCAGAACTTTCAGGATCTGGTTTGAGTTCTGATGGGCTGTCATAACTTCAAACGGCTACTGTGTGAACCGTCGTAAGTCGAGGACTTCCTTGTACAGGTTCCGTGTCCCATGGGGAAAAAAAGAACCTCCTGCCGACAGCAGAGTCTCAAGGCTGCCTTAACCTTCACTCCAGTCTCCCAGGGACGGCCTCCCTCAACTCCACCACCGGCTTCCTCCAGCTACACCAGACAAGCCTGTCGGAGACCCTCCCTCCCCTTTGTTACACAAATTCCACACAAACACAACAAGATTCCAGAAGGCAGCAGAACAAGGAAGAGTCTTAAGTCCCCCTTCCAGATTGCATCCAAAGATGGTCCCTTTCCAACCTGTGGACTTCAACTCTCAGAATTCCTGAGCTAGCCAGAATTTTTGGGGGGCTCAATTGTGGTCATACATCAAGTCCTTGGACCAGCTGGCCCACCTGCTTTATGGTTGCCCCAACGAGCTGGTCCACCTACTCTGTGGTTCTAGCAATCTGATTAGGCAATCCTGGTTAGTTCCTGATCATGGGTGGTTTCCCATCTCGCCGGCCGTACTTACACCAGCCAATCCACCGCCAAGATGAGCGAGATGTTGTTGGTTGGCAAGCTGATGGCCTCCAGGATGATGGCCAGGGTGAGGACCCCTCCGGCAGGAATTCCAGCTGCTCCAACGCTGGACGCTGTGGCCGTGATGCTGCGGTTGGAATGGAGGATAGAATAGAATAGAATAGAAGAGTAGAGTAGAGTAGAACAGAGTAGAGTAGAATAGAGTAGAATAGAGAAGAATAGAATAGAATTACAAATAATAGAATAGAATAGAATAGAATAGAATAGAATAGAATAAGAGAAGAGAACAGAGAATAGAATAGAATAGAAAATAGAATAGAATATAGAACAGAACAGAACGGAGAATAAAATATAGAACAGAACAGAAGAGAATAGAAAGAATAGAATATCTTTATTGTCACTGTGTAACTCACAACAAAATTAAGTGCTGTCCACAGTGCACTACACACAAGTAAAAACCACAAATAAGAACATACATTGTATACACACATCCTTCACTTTCTATTCATCATTGCGCAGAGAAATGGTGAATAGAAAAGGGCAGAGAAGAGGGTTTAGACCCCCCCCATTGAACCCAAGGCCTTGGGGCAGTTCTTGGCTGGCGTTTACCCTCTCTACCCCCTCCTTAACTTCACCTCTTCATCCCCCCAGACACTTCTCAAAATTGAACACCACCACCCCGAAGTAGAACCTCTGGACCAAAATCTGTTCTTTTTATTCCGTCGCAGGGGCTTTCTTGCTCGTTTCCACGACCAAGAAATTTTTTAGCGAAGCTGGGGTGGGGAAAGGTTAGGAGTACTAAGGCATCAAGCCAGAATTGCACTTTGTATAATCTTGGCTTAGCAAGTTGCGGGAATCCAGCCAAGCGTCCTTGGAGGACTATTTGTGATCACAGCCAGTTGTGCGTCTTCAGCAAGTCTCGGTTAAGCGAACCTGGCTTAGCACGAGGCTTTTTGCAAGAGGCTGGAGGCAGCCCTCCTGCACTAGCAGAAAAAGAACCGAGATTTAATTTTAGCTGGGTGCCATTTTTAGACTTTTTTCCACCAAATTCAGGGATCCACCCTGAATTTCTCCTGATCCTGTGATTTCAGTATCTCTCCTTAAAAGCTGCTATTCTAAAAACTAGTTTATATTGGGGGGGGGGGAATGTTTCTTTCCATCGCCATGTGTCCCGAAGCAACCTCTAGCTATGAATTTCTCCTTTGTTTCTGGGTGAATCTCATGACTCTAAAGTTTCCACTGACAAAATTACAGCCCATTAAAGCTTTAATGAGACCCAGATTCGTCTCACGGGGAGAAATTGAGCAATTTAAGGTTTCCGTGAAAGGACAGCTCCAACCTCCTCCAATTAAATCATTTAAAGAGGTTTTTATTATAATGTCCAGGTTGCCCATTTCATTGTCTGGAGTTTTGGTCTCCTCTTGGTAAACTTTCCAAAATGTTACGAGGTTGAGAGAGGTCACAAGATATTTAATTTATTTATTTATTTATAAGATTGATATCGCCGCCTATTCGCACAGGGCGACTCAAGGCAGGTTACACAAGATATGGACAATTTTAAACGGGAGCAGGGAAACATCAGGGCTTGTAATGTAATCGTGGTTTGTTCCTAACCGTGGTTCACCGAATATAATCCCCACTGATTGGGTTGTAGTTAAGGCATAAGATTCCTGTGATGACTTAAAGCAATGATTCTCAATCTGGGCAGCTTTAACATATGTGGACTTCAACTCCCAGAATTCCCCAGCCAGCCATGATGGGTGGGGAATTCTGGGAGTTGAAGTTCACATATATTAAAGCTGCCCAGATCGAGACACACGGTTCTAGACTAAAGCTGAGATCTGATCTTGGACAAAAATGGCCCAGAAAGCAATAATGTCACGCAAACCCCCCCCCCCAACTGTGATTTCATCCTATGTATCTTTAATTAAAGCTAGCGGGTGCATTTCTACTTCTGCCGTGTCTTTAACACTCTTTCCTCTTTGGCTGTGGGAACGGAAAAGCATTTTAGGGGTCCCTTCCCAGCTTCAGAGAAGGCCAAAATGTGGTGTGGTGGTGGGGTGGACACTTACAGGATCGTGATGACTTGGACGAAGTTGAGCGAGACGTTGTTGAGCTGGGCGATGAAGACGGCCGCCACGCACTGGAAGAGGGCCGCCCCGTCCATGTTGACCGTGGCCCCGATGGGGAGGATGAAGCGGCTGATGTGCTTGGAGACTCCGTTGTTCTCCTCCACGCACTTCATCATCAGGGGCAACGTGGCGGAGCTGTGGGGAGGAGAAGCCCCCGAGAGGGGATCGACCATCAAGTCCTCCAGAGATGTTCCCGGGGTACTTGAAGTCCNCCCAAACGCAAACAGCCCCCCTTTCAGAAATAAATTACATCGCAAATCAGCCATTCCAATTCTAAAACAGAAGGACAATCATTAACGGAAGTAAAAAAATGTGGGCTAAGGGGAAGACAGTTAAACAAAGTTGGCCACGTCAAAAGGTAATGAAAAGTTCATCCGTAGGTCCCAGTGTCAGCACATGGAGTGTGAGAGATGGAAATAAAAAATCGCAATTGAAAAAGTCTGGAAGCAAAAACCCCATTCCCCTCCAGTTTCTGCATTTACAAGGGCTGTCGGTCGCCTTGCAAACAAGTTTCAAGTTTTGGGATTTGGAAAAAAAAAAAAAAAAACCCCACGCAGTTAAGATTTAACCCGGTGCGTTTCTTGTCCTTCTGGCTCAACAGGCCAGAGAACGTCAAGTAAAGAATGGAAGGAAAACAAACAAGAAAAAAAAAAAAAAAGATAAGACTAAAGACTCTTTCTGCTGGCTTGGTCCAAAATATAAAAATAAATGCAGAGAAAATTGCACACAAAAAGAGAAGAAAAAACAAAAGGACGATTGAGTGATCTCGATACGTCGATTCGTATGACGATTATTTTTTTCCCCCTTTTTAACTGGATGTCGCCGAAGAGAACGTCTCGCCTTGCACAGTGGACGTTTTCTTAAGCGCCACCAAGACTACGGAGAAAAATTTGGGAAAAATGGAGTGATGATCCTACGGCGTTCGTTGGCATTGAAATTTCCAAACGTACGAAATGCGTGAAGTTCAAAGAAGAAACAACGGTGGGGGAAAAAAAAGGCTGTGTTTAAACAGATTCTTGGTAGAAAAAAAAAACTCCCGGTCATTAAATCTCCCTCTGGATGGGAAATTCTGATCTTGAAAGACGGAGAAAAATTATGTCTTTTAAACTTCTTTTTTTGGAGAAAAGTTCTAAAGTTCTTTTTTTTTTTTGGAGAAAAGTTCTAAAGTTCGGCTTTGGAGTAGTTCAGTCACATCACGGATTCTTTTTCGCAAGGTTTGCTATCCCCCAAATGGGTTGGGCCGTTCTGCTTAATCAGCGGGGAGCCCTCCTCTACCCACTCGGGCTTGCTGGCCTCCACGGCCACCGTCTTAACTTCCACCAGGTCGTCGTCCTCCATCTGGCCCATTTTCTTCTCCGAGTACACCTGTAGGAGCCCCGCGCCAAAGGCATCGCCCTCCACGTTCAGGACAGTACACGTCCGGTCTCTGTAGGGGAGGAGGAGGAACCGGGCGTCAGAATGCACGCAAAATAACCCCATGGAGAGAAGCAGGGTGAAAAAAGGGGAGCCCCCCCTGAGCCCCCCTCATTCAGAACATCTTCACCTGCAAAACCAGGGTCAAAAGACTCCCCTGCTCTGGTTAGGAGAGGACAGAAAGATCTGTCATGTGGGGTCCATGGTGCTCTCTGAGCTGGGTGGTTTTTTTGCAGACGTTTCATGGCCCAGCTAGGTAATGTCATCTGTGCTGGGAGGAGGGTATATGGAGTGGAGGAGGGAGGAGGAGGAGGAGAAGGGTGGTGGCTGTGGGGTCCCTTGCTGCTCTCTGAGCTGGGTGGTTTTTTTGCAGACATTTCATGGCCCAATTAGGTAATGTCATCAGTGCTGGAAGGGAGGTGGGTTATGCACTGATGATGTTACCTAGTTGGGTAATGAAACGTCTAGAAGACAGCACAGAGAGTACCAAGGACCCCATAGAACCTCCCTTCCTCCTCCTCCTTTCCATCCCTCCCTTCCAGCACTGATAATGTTATCTAGTTTGGGTCATGAAACATCTGCAAGAAAACTCCCCCAAGCTCAGAGAGCACCAAGGAGCCCCTCAGTTCAAATATTCTCTTTTATCAGATCTGTCACGATTGCTGCAAGAGACCTTTGCTCTCATCCAGCACGGGTTTTTATCTACTGCTGTCTGCAGGCAGCCCTCCCTAACGAAGCCTGTCTGTCATAAAACCCATCATCACCCATGCAACTAACCTGATTTTACCACTGTTTTTGTGGCGGTCATTAAACGATCCAATGGTTAACAGTTTTATTTATTTATTTATTTATTTATTTATTTATTTATTTATTTATTTATTTATTTATTTATTTATTTATTTATTTATTTATTTATTTATTAATTATATTTATATCCCGCCCTTCTCCTTATGGACTCAGGGCGGCTAACAGTTTTATTAAAAACCAGAAGTAAACCAGACATTTTGGCCAATAATGCCAGTTTTGGGCAAAAACATAAAACGCAGTCAGCATCACAAACTGCCGACCATTCGGGTTGGTTGCTAGGCACCCAAAATGTGGCAGAACTTTCAGGACCTGGTTTGAGTTCTGATGGGCTGTCATAACTTCAAACGGCTACTGTGTGAACCGTCGTAAGTCGAGGACTTCCTTGTACAGGTTCCGTGTCCCATGGGGAAAAAAAGAACCTCCTGCCGACAGCAGAGTCTCAAGGCTGCCTTAACCTTCACTACAGTCTCCCAGGGACGGCCTCCCTCAACTCCACCACCCGCTTCCTCCAGCTACACCAGACAAGCCTGTCGGAGACCCTCCCTCCCCTTCGTTACACAAATTCCACACAAACACAACAAGATTCTGGAGGGCAGCAGAACAAGGAAGAGTCTTAAGTCCTCCTTCCAGATTGCATCCAAAGATGGTCCCTTTCCAACCTCTGGACTTCAACTCCCAGAATTCCTGAGCCAGCCAGAAATTTTTTGGGGCTCAATTGTGGTCATATATCAAGTCCTTGGACCAGCTGGCCCACCTGCTTTATGGTTGCCCCAACGAGCTGGTCCACCTACTCTGTGGTTCTAGCAATCTGATTAGGCAATCCTGGTTAGTTCCTGATCATGGGTGGTTTCCCATCTCGCCAGCCATACTTACACCAGCCAATCCACCGCCAGGATGAGCGAGATGTTGTTGGTGGGCAAGCTGATGGCCTCCAGGATGATGGCCAGGGTGAGGACCCCTCCGGCAGGAATTCCAGCTGCTCCAACGCTGGACGCTGTGGCTGTGATGCTGCGGTTGGAATGGAGAATAGAATAGAATAGAATAGAATAGAATAGAATAGAATAGAATAGAATAGAATAGAATAGAGTGTAGAGTAGAGTAGAGTAGCGTAGAGTAGAATTACAAATAAGAATAGAATAGAGTAGAGTAGAATAGAATTACAAATAAGAATAGAATAGAATAGAGTAGAATTACAAATAAGAATAGAATAGAATAAAATAGAGTAGAGTAGAATAGAATTACAAATAAGAATAGAATAGAATAAGAGAAGAGAACAGAGAATAGAATAGAATAGGAAATAGAATATAATAGAATATAGAACAGAACAGAGAATATAATAAAATATAGAACAGAACAGAAGAGAATAGAAAGAATAGAATATCTTTATTGTCACTGTGTAACTCACAACAAAATTAAGTGCTGTCCACAGTGCACTACACACAAGTAAAAACCACAAATAAGAACATACATTATATACACACATCCTTCACATTCTATTCATCATTGCGCAGAGAAATGGTGAATAGAAAAGGGCAGAGAAGAGGGTTTAGACACCCCCCCCATTGAACCCAAGGCCTTGGGGCAGTTCTTGGCTGGCGTTTACCCCCTCTACCCCCTCCTTAACTTCACCTCTTCATCCCCCCAGACACTTCTCAAAATTGAACACCACCACCCCGAAGTAGAACCTCTGGACCAAAATCTGTTCTTTTTATTCCGTCGCAGGGGCTTTCCTGCTCGTTTCCACGACCAAGAAATTTTTTAGCTAAGCTGGGGTGGGGAAAGGTTAGGAGTACTAAGGCATCAAGCCAGAATTGCACTTTGTATAATCTTGGCTTAGCAAGTTGCGGGAATCCAGCCAAGCGTGCTTGGAGGACTATTTGTGATCGCAGCCAGTTGTGCGTCTTCAGCAAGTCTCGGTTAAACGAACCTGGCTTAGCACGAGGCACACAAGAGACCGGGGCCGCTTTTTGCAAGAGGCTGGAGGCAGCCCTCCTGCACTAGCAGAAAAAGAACCAATAATTAATTTTAGCTGGGTGCCATTTTTAGACTTTTTTTCCACTTTTTTCCATTTTTAGACTTTTTTCTCTGAGGTCCCACCAGAGATTCACCCTGAATTTCTCCAGATCCTGTGATTTCAGTATCTCTCCTTAAAGGCTGCTATTCTAAAAACTAGTTTATATATATATATATTTTTTTTTGGGGGGGGGAATGTTTCTTTCCATCGCCATGTGTCCCGAAGCAACCTCTAGCTATGAATTTCTCCTTTGTTTCTGGGTGAATCTCATGACTCTAAAGTTTCCACTGACAAAATTACAGCCCATTAAAGCTTTAATGAGACCCAGATTCGTCTCACGGAGAGAAATTGAGCAATTTAAGGTTTCCGTGAAAGGACAGCTCCAACCTCCTCCAATTAAATCATTTAAAGAGGTTTTTATTATAATGTCCAGGTTGCCCATTTCATTGTCTGGAGTTTTAGTCTCCTCTTGGTAAACTTTCCAAAAATATTACAAGGCTGGGAGAGGCCACAAGATATTTTATTTATTTATTTATTTAGAAGATTGATATCGCCGCCTATTCGCACAGGTTACACAAGATATGGACAATTTTAAACGGGAGCAGGGAAACATCAGGGTTTGTAATGTAATCGTGGTTTGTTCCTAACCGTGGTTCACCAAATATAATCCCCACTGATTGGGTTGTAGTTAAGGCATAAGATTCCTGTGATGACTTAAAGCAATGATTCTCAATCTGGGCAGCTTTAACATATGTGGACTTCAACTCCCAGAATTCCCCAGCCAGCCATGCTGGGTAGGGAATTCTGGGAGTTGAAGTCCACATATCTTAAAGCTACCCAGATCGAGACACACGGTTCTAGATTAAAGCTGAGATCTGATCTTGGACAAAAATGGCCCAGAAAGCAATAATGTCACGCAAAAAAACCCCCCCAAACTGTGATTTCATCCTATGTATCTTTAATTAAAGCTAGCGGGTGCATTTCTACCTCTGCCGTGTCTTTAACACTCTTTCCTCTTTGGCTGTGGGAACAGAAAAGCATTTTAGGGGTCCCTTCCCAGCTTCACAGAAGGCCAAAATGTGGGGTGGTGGGGTGGACACTTACAGGATCGTGATGACTTGGACGAAGTTGAGCGAGACGTTGTTGAGCTGGGCGATGAAGACGGCCGCCACGCATTGGAAGAGGGCCGCCCCGTCCATGTTGACCGTGGCCCCGATGGGGAGGATGAAGCGGCTGATGTGCTTGGAGACTCCGTTGTTCTCCTCCACGCACTTCATCATCAGGGGCAACGTGGCGGAGCTGTGGGGAGGAGAAGCCCCCGAGAGGGGATCGACCATCAAGTCCTCCAGAGATGTTCCCGGGGTACTTGAAGTCCTGCCACCTCGCCCTGCCTTCAAAGCATCCCTCCCCGTGATCTGCTCGGTTCTTGACCACCCAACCAACCTCTAGGTCCCCCCACGTTCTTTCAGGGTAGTGAATTCTGTGGCCTACCTTGAGAGAACAGGTCGTTCTCCTCAACAGGGGGTAGCTGCCTGCTGAAATCTGCTCAGAGCAATCCTTCAAGATCACCCCAAGGAAGCAAAGCACCTTGGCAGATTGGGGCATCCAAGGAGTGGTTAAAGAAGGCAAGATGGCGGCCGCAATATGGAAACTACCAACTTTTTTGAGCATCCACGTGGACACATCCGCCGAAGCGAGCTAAATCTGGGGGTACTCTTAACATGAACTGTGGGGTCCTTGGTGTTTTCTGAGCCTGGTGAGAGCAACCCCCATCCCTTCTATCCCTGATGACGTTGCCTAGATGGGTCGTGAAGTGCCTGCAAGTAACCAAGCTCAGAGAGCACCAAGGACCCCACAGTCTTCGTCCTCCTCCTCCTCCTCCCCCCCACTAAATCCCACTCCCTTCTAGCACTGATGTTATCTAGTTGGGTAATGGAACGGCTGCAAGAACACCAAGCTCAGAGAGGAAACCACAGCACACCCCCAACTCACCACAACCCCCCCTCCCTTCTAGTACCGATGGGGTTACACCTAATCGGGTCACGAAACATCTGCAAGAAATGCCCCAAACTCAGACAGCACCCAGCACCCCACAGTTCAACCCCGAGCTCAAATATTCTCACCTATGTATCTTTAACATGGAGCCTGCACCCCAAGCATCCATCTTCCAGTATGGCTCTCCATCCATCCATCCATCCATCCATCCATCCATCCCACCCACTCCTGGCCCAGCGACAGATGGTCTCTGCATACCTGGAGGAGGTCCCAAAGGCGGTGGCCAAGGGGGTGAAGATCCCCCACAGGAAGCGGTAGGGGTTCCGGCGGGTGAAGACGAAGTAGATCCCTGGGAGAACCAGCAGCCCGTGGATGGCGTGGCCCACCAGGCAGCAGCAGATGTATTTGCCCAGGCTGGTGAAGAGCAGGACCACGTCTTCCATCTCCACGATCTTGCCGGCCACCAGAAACATGATACCCACGGGGGCGTACCTGGGGAGGGAAAGAGGCCGTCAGCCCAGCTGGAGACCCAGAGCCAGGTCAGAGTGCTGGGCTGGAGGCCGTCAGCGGAACCACGTAGCCCACCTCGCAATTCTGCCCAGAGGCGAGAAATTCATTTTTTAATTAACAAATCGCCTCATTTTTGTTCATTTCGAATGTTTTGGTTTTGTAATGTTTGCTTTTAGGATGTTGAAAGATGCCCGGAGTCGCTTCACCATGAGATGGGACAGCAGCACAGACAGGGAATAATTGATTTTTAACCCTAATTTAACTTTTTAAAGGTAATGGTAATTTTTAATACATCGTTTTATTTACTGGTTGTATTATATCAAATAATTCCTATTAAATAAAACTGCCCAGAACCCTTCTTTGAGAGAAAGGGGAAGTATGGAATAATAAAAAATAAAAAATAAGAGCAAAGTAAAATAAAAGTAAAAGAATAAAATGAAATGTATAGCAAGAAGCGGAGAAATACAGGTAGTTCTCAACTTATGACCACAATTGAGCCCAACATTTCTGTTGTTGAGACATTTGTTAAGCAAATTTTGCCCCATTTTACGACCTTTCCTGCCACGGTTGTTTGAGCAGAAAAGGGTCCCAAATCCTGAATTCAGGACATTGAAAAGGGCTTTTGGCATCAATTTTGTGACCCGGAAGAGGGTCTACATGAGCAACACCCTTACCACATAATCCAAGAAACCAGAATCATGGTGGCTTCGTTGAAGGAGTTGAAGAACTTGATCAGGTTCTCCCCTTCGGGCCCAAGTTTCCGCAGGGCGACTCCGAAGACGATGGCGAAGACCACCAGGCCGAGGATGTTCATGCCCTCCACCTCTTCGCCCGTGGGCACCTGGTTGGGGGAAGAGAGAAAACCGTCAGCCCACCCCAAAGGCCAATTAAATTTAATGGATTTTTAACCCTAATTTAATTTTTTTAAGGGTACTGGTAATTTTTATACACTGTTTTATTTACTGGTTATATTCTATTGAATAATTATTATGTAATAATAATTATTAAATAGAACCGCCCTTTGAGAGAGAGGGGCAGTATGGCATATTAATAATGTACAGCAAGAAGCAGAGAAATACAGCTAGTCCTTGACTTATAACCATAACTGGGCCCAAAATTGAGATATTTGTTGAGTTTTGCCCCATTTAATGACCTTCCTTACACCGTTGTTAAGTGAATCCGGTTATTAAGTGAATCCGGCTTTTCCATTGACTTTGCTTGTCAGAAGGTCGCAAAAACTGATCACCTGACCCTGGGACATTGCGACTGTCGTAAGTATGAGTCAGTTGCCAAAGTCTGAATTTTGATCATGTGACTATCAGGATGCTGCAATGGCTGTCAGCGTGAAAAACGGTCACTTTTTCCAGTGCCGTTGGAACTTCAGTCACTAGGCAAAGTCAAGGGCTATCGGTATTTGGAAAAACCACTTATAAAGTCTTTTGGGGCAGACAAGCAGGTAAAAGAGGTAGAGTCTTCATTGCCCAGAGACCCCCCCAACCCTGAGTGGGATGGATCAATCAAGCAAGCAGAAGCCTTCCTCCAGTTGCAGACCTTTATCTCCTCCACCAGGACTAGAAACCTGAAAAAGGATGCTTTACTGTACACAGCTTTTTATTTTATTTTTACCAGTATTGTCTCATTCATGGATTTGGTTTCATTCAGAAATGCTGTCCCATTGACGAGATCCGTGCGGTTCTTCGTTTCATAGCTGGTTGAGTACTAGGAAAGAAAATACAACAGATTTTTTTTGTTTTTGCTGCGCGTTCTCTGGGAAATAGGATTTGGGGATGGGAGAGACACATCCTGGCAACTATATTATGACTGGGCAGATCTTTCCTGGTGACCTTTGCCGTGCCAACCACATGCCCTCACAAGACCCAAAATGCCCGGGGCAGGAGGCCCACAGCACATAATATCTGGATAAAAAGAAGCCACTCCTTTGAGCAAGAGTTGTCTTTGTTGATTCAGGCTTGGAATTTAAACAAACGGACAGACAAAAGCTTTGCCCATTTACATTGATCGGTGCCAAGAAAAAAAACAATCTCCTCTGCCACTTTGCGTTGGCTTCCGGGATGGAAGGAAGGGAGATAAATGATTTATCATTTCTGCCTTTAACAAAAAGCAAAATCAACTAGCAGATTTATCGCTCGAAAAGCCGGATGATTGCACCACTAAGAAGGCAGGGGCTTGGAAAATAAGAAGTTAATTTCAGGACAAAACTATTAAAACTCAGCAAAAAATAGTCCATCCGGGGTCCAGAAATTGGCCTCTTAATTTAACACAGCTATTAAAAATTAAGCTAAACTGGCTGGCTGACCTGTGTACTAAAAAGGATGAGATGCCAGATTTTTAAATGGTTAGGCAAGGGGGGGGTGTCTTGAGCAAGTGGTTTTGAAAGGGTGGGGAGGTACAACATCTCAGCCACCCACCCACCCACAAACACACAAGTTGTCTGTCAAAGCAGAAACTCAGATATTATGTGCTTTTTCCTGTCTTGAATTCTAGACAAGATGACTGACATATATATATCAGATAGATAGAAAGCTAGAAAGCTAGATGTTAGATAGATAGATAGATAGATAGATAGATAGATAGATAGATAGATAGATAGATAGATAGATAGATAGATAGATAGATAGATAGATAGATAGATAGATAGATAGATAGATAGGAAGGAAGGAAGGAAGGAAGGAAGGAAGGAAAGATAGATAGATAGATAAGAAGGAAGGAAGGAAAGGAAAGGAAAGGAAAGGAAAAGATAGATAGATAGATAGATAGATAGCCTTCCTCCAAACAGTGGGGCAGGGAAATCCTCATCTCTGGATGCATTTTGAATTTAAATTTAATTTTTAAAATTTTTATTTTTGGTTGTAACTTTTTTATTGTAATACGGTACTTATGTATAACTGTTTTTAACCTCTATATGTCCACCGCCAAGTCGCTCTGTCAGGGAGATTGGTGCTCTCTAAATATGACAAACAAACCAACATCTATAATTAACTGTCCTGGACTGTCTTTATGGCCAAAGGGAGCTTTTTCTCATCCTCCCACTCTTTCTAAAGAACTGGCTCTGGAAAAATTCTAATACACCCAGATAACTCTTTTCTTCAGAAAAGGCCACGTCAATGAGTCACCCTGGGTCACAGAGGCAGCATGTGTGCAGTCATAAGACGTGGTAACAGCCCCCAATTTAGTTCCTTTCCCTCCTGACGGGATGGGCTCAAATAGCAGGAGCTTTTTTTCTCAATCACAGCCCCAGAACATTGAAGCAGCAGCTGCCAAAGGTCTCCAGCCCACACTCGGTCCTTTCCCCTCTTTCACGCAACCCTTTGCTGCCAAGTTCATTTATTATTTTTATTTTATTCATTTACTGATTACGTGTCTCACCTAAGCAACTCTGGGCAGTTTACAACATCGTAATATAAAACCATAGTAATATGTAAATAAAACCCTAGATTAAAATAGGTGGAAAGAAAGAAAGAAAGAAAGAAAGAAAGAAAGAAAGAAAGAAAGAAAGAAAGAAAGAAAGAAAGAAAGAAAGAAAGAAAACTCACCGATCGGAATGCAGCAGACACCAAGTTGGAAGGGAAAATGTTCCTGGATAAGAGAAGAAAAGAGAAGTGGGCATTGGCATATCTGTTTAATTTACATTTATTTATTTATTTATTAAATTTATTAAATTTATATACCGCCCTATCTCCCTTGCGGGACTCAGGGTGGTGAACAGGCGATACTAAAAACCACAATAATAAATAGTTTGTTTTAAAATCGAATTAAATAACAGGCCTGTTCTAAAAACACACCCGTAAAAACCCCCCCACTGAAACATAATCAAACTACGCCAGGCCGGCCGCACGGAATAGATGGGCCTTCAGGGCTCGGCGAAGAAGGCGCAGGTCCGCAACTGTACGTAGGTCGGGGGGTAGGTCATTCCAGAGGGCAGGAGCTGCCACAGAGAAGGCTCTCCCCCTACTCAGTTTGTGATATGGATAATATATACATTCAATACACATACACACACACTCAATACAAGCAGCCCTTGACTTATGACTGGGGAATTCTGGGAGTTGAAGTCCATTCAGCTTAACGTTGCCGCAGTTGAGAAACACCCTTGTGTAGACACGTTCAGGATTCTCCCCAGTTGGGTGAGGAGCCACAAAGAACTCAAATCCAGCCCAAGAAATTCAGGAGGTGACTGCAAACCAGCACTGATCATGTAACCTGGTTTAACTAATGAAACTTCTGGAAGCTTTCAAAGAGCACCAAGGACCGCTCAATTCAACCCCGAGTTGCAAAGTTTCTCTCCTATTGGGGGTCCAGAAAGTGGGGTGTCCATGCTACCAACTTCTTCTGCCCGAGGCTCAGTCCATTCTCTCGCTCTGTTTTAGCCATCATAGCTAACAGCTGAGGCTCCTCCACGGTTGGTGTTGTGCAATCTCAGACTGTACTTTTCCTGCCTCCACACCTGTTGTCCCGTCTACGTCAACCCAGAAGCCAACAGACATGCTGGCCTATCAGTAACAGGAGCATATCTTCAACAAGAATAAATTGCTGGGCTGTCTTAATCCTGCAGAGATCGAGTATCACGGAGCTAACTTTTGCTGGCCAAGCTCTAGACTTGGATTGCTGCCAGTCTTATCACACACACCCCACACCCCCATTGCGTCCTCTACTTTCTCCAGCTCTGGATAGGACACCACCGGAAGAGAACCTAAGATCAAACCCTAATCCCCCGAAAGCTGAAAATAACCAGCTGGCTGCCCCCTTTCCGAAATCAACCCGAAAGCTGTGCCCTTGGCACCAGAAGCCACCAAAGGAAGTTCTGGAGAACATCTCCTAGACCAGGGGTCTCCAAACCTGGCAACTTTTAAGACTTGTGGACTGCAAAACTTAGGGATTTCAGCCCTTGGAATTCCATGGCTGGCTGAGGCATTCTGGGAGTTGAAGTCCACAAGTCTTAAAGTTGCCAAGTTTGGAGATCCCGGCTCTAGGAGCTGTTCTCCAGAACTTCCTTTGGTGGCTTCCGAGTTGCTGACCAAGCCCACCTGAACGGGCTCATCCAAACATCCCAGCCACACAACGCATGGCAACCTATAAGCCGGCTTCCACAGGGTGGGGGGTTGAAGCCAGCTGGTTCCTCTTGGATCTGGAGGATGTGTTGACCTCCAGCCACCGGGCGTTTTTCTGTCTCCTCCCCAGACCTGTAAAATTCCCAGACAACCTGGTCGTAAAACCATCACCAGGGCTGCTCCTCTGCCTGAATTGCTGGCCATTTGTTTTTATATTCGGCTCTTCCGGATGTGCTTTGGGTAAATAACAGCTTGGCTTATCCTTGTCTGCAAGGATTTAAAGCTTATTTATCATTACATCTGTGGGGGGGGGGCGTCTTACCACAGAGTGGGTAAGATGGATGCTGGCAACTCACAGGTCAAGACCAAAAATCGTTTCAGGCCTGGAAAAGTGATTTTTTTGACTATTTTTCACCTGGCTGTTGCAGGATCCCCTCGATCACACAGTCAAAATTCAGACGCTTGGGGCTGTCTCATATTTATGACGGTTAAAGGGGCCTAGAGGCGTGTGATCTGCCTTTTGTGACCTTCTGACAAGCAAAGCCAATGGGGAAACCAGATTAACAACTTTATGACTGTGGCAAGAAAGGTCATAAAATGGGGGGGGGACTCATTTAACTGCCTCACTTGGGCTCAGTTGAGGTCCTAAGTCAGGGGTAGGCAACCTTGGCTCTTTTATGACTCGTGGACTTCAACTCCCAGAATTCCTGACCCAGCCACGCTGAGGGGAAAGGGAGAGGTTTCCAAGCTGAGCCATGCTGGCTCAGGAATTCTGGGAGTTGAAGTCCACGAGTCATAAAAGAGCCAAGATGGCCTACCCTTGTCCTAAGTCAAGAGCTACCTGTTATTTTGTGGAGCTGCTGCTTTTATGCCCCCCAGGCAAACTAGAAAAACAGTGCAAGTGCTTTGAAGAGAGACAATCCCATGGGGGGGCAAGGGTCTTTGCAAACTGCCCCCCCAATGGAATCCAGCACACGGGGGGGGGGGGGAAGCTGCTTTTGGGGTGGAGCCCAATCCAAAACGTAGCATCTCCCTGAAACAAACTTAAGCTCTTCTCTCAAAAACTGCAAAAAAAAAACAAAAAAAAAAAACCCAGATTTTTTTTTTTATAAGCAATTCAGGCCTGCCTACTTTTCTTCCCTCCCTGAAGTTTTTGTCGTCCCCCCCCCCAATAAATGCTATCTGCATTTCCCCCAAAGCTCCCCCAGCTTATTTGATGCACTGAATGCAACTCAATGCTCAAAGGCCTTTTCTGTTTACTGAAAAAATGTCTGCAGATCTGAAACTATTTGCTTTTCGGTCTTGAAATAACCCCATCATAAATGAGACTTTTTTTAATGCAGGTTTCGGGAACAAGGTCTTGAAGAAGACTTCAGCTGACTTCCCTACTGGCAAAGAAACTCAACAACAGGGAATGTTGCATCAGACTCAGAAACCTCTCGCAACGCCCCTTTCGCACACACAAAAAAGTCAGAAACAAGGGGAAAAAATCTGTTGCAGGTGAAGAATCTTCCCTGCCTTTAAAGCCTCTTCTCTTCCTGCAGCAGACGTCAACCTGGTTTATAAATCACATTTTCCATCACGCTGAACTTGGAAACTCTGA